TCCTCATTGTGCAGCTTCCAGACAACAGTTAGAACAGAATATTTACTTTCTCTTAGAGACTGGAAGAATACAAATGAATTGAGAAGACTGACAGAAGCCAAAGGAGGGTCAGGAAATAATTTATTCTTTTTTATTCTAATTCCATAGAGACTAGGGAAGTAGCTTAGGCAAAGTGGAAAACAAATGGAGCATAAGTGAGGAAGTGACTTGGCTGTTAGAGTTCTGAAAATTGATGTACACGGATATAAATGAATTGCTTTTGTAATTTGAGTTCAAAAAGGGGTTTCTGGGTTGAAAGATATAAATAGAGTAATATTTTGGGGAAATGCTTTTTTGGGGAATGACCTCCCAGTGAAAAATGGGATGCCATAATTTTTAATGCTGCTAACCAGTGTATTGGAGTATGCTGTACACATGTGTTACAGTAACTTCTGGGCCTTCATGTTCCATGTGGTGTGGTTACCTGGGTCTTGGCAAAATGGTGATGTTTGAACATTGCTACTTGTAGGGGCAGCTTTACTGCTCTTACGATGAGTTTTCAGCAATGAATAACAGCAATCACAAGTATAGGGAAATGCTTATTTTCCTGGGCTTAATGATAATATTTATTAAAAACAATGTTCTGATAAAATGTTCTTATAAAACTAAATGACCTCTTGCTGAAAGAAATAATCGCAGCACTTTGCATGAAAGAATTACGATGAAACATAAAAATGTGCATTTGTTGTTGTTGTTTTCGATGTCGAGGCCAGTTTCATGTGATGCAATTCTCTGTAAATATTAGCTTTATGAAATGCTGTGGCTATTCCTTTTCTGAACAGCAGTGAGTTTACTGTGCATTAAGTTAATGTGTACAGGCACACATCTCTTGCGTACTACAGCTGGCAATCTTCCCGTTATCCCCCCCAGTGTCCAGCCAAGGCTAACGAGCCTGTTTGCTTCAGTTGCTCCAGGGCCACGGTAGCTGGATAACCTCTCTGGGCTTTGAATGCAAAGGGACAGCTAGGCTCAGTCTACATCCACGTGACACCAGACTTTGGTGGTGACTTAGAGCTCGGGTTTGCATCTTTCCTGATTTTTATCTGGAGATGTCCTTGCTTTGCTCACAGAGTAGGGGGGAAAAAAAAAGGCAATTTTAAGAAGTACTGTTATCTTTCGTAACAGTATTGCTAAAGGGATATGAAGTTGAGGCACAGCTACGGTGTTGTGCAACAGTGGCTCTTAACAGTGGAGAACCAAATCTCGCTCCTAAGGCCTCAAAGATGTGAACTGATAAGAGTGCAGCTGGGGAGAGACAATCCTACGAGTGGTACTTTGACTCCTTCTGGTGTCTTTATGCATAGGATTACAAGCACAAAGCATTTAAGGTACATTCTGGCTGTGCGCTGAATGCTGTCATGTTGAGCTTATTATTAAAACTTCAAATTAGTAATTTAAATGCATACACTCAAAGTGCTATGTATCCATGCATACATTAGCTTGGAATTAGTGCTGTGTGTGAATTTTAATATTGTTCAGTTGTTCAGATATAGTTGTTTTATTTTCCCTTTTACATCCTCATTCTTCATCTTCCAGTGCAAACTCCTGTTTCCTGTGTGTTTTTCCCATTTGTTCTCTGACTTGATCATTTTGGCCCAAGGCACAGAACAGTGTCTTCACAGAAACTGACTTTTAACAATGTGAAAAAGTTACCAGCCAAATAAAAAAGGAAGAAATGGTGATGGACAGATCGTAAACGTGAGTTACTTCAGAGTGGCTCCTACTCTGAATTTCAGTGTGTTGAGATCCCTAGGGGAACAAGGGAAGTGAGGCAGCCAGCTGCGTTCTCAAGCTCTGAGTAGTTCTGACAGTGTGGCAGTGATGGGTTTGTAGTGCAGCAAGGGCCAGCTGGCCGTGTGGATGTGGCTGTAGATTACTTTCTGATAAATAGCAGTTAGCATGGCTCTGCTTGGTAGGAACAGGAAGTGCCATGAGGAAGAACTGACACTCCAAAATGTGAGTCAGAAAATGAAATTACTGAGTGACACAGATGCATATATATCAGTGCCTCCGCTCCTGGCATGCCTGCACAGGCAAGATGTTCTCATAACAGCTTCCTTCATATACCTTGGATGCACAGTAAAAGAGCAAGTGTTGTGATGAGTAACGTACAGAATACATGGGTGTCTGGTATTTTCAGTTTAGCAGTCAGATTTTCTGTACGTTTCAGAGAGGGATGTAGGCTGGCTTCAGGTGTGTTTTTTAATGGTTCAACTGCTTCTTGCACACCTGAACAGTGGCTGACACCCTCCTTCATTTGTCTTCCATCAGTAAACTTGACCCTCTAAAATATGTTTCTCTTGCCTTGTGTGAATTGTGAATTCATTGGACAAGACATGTCTGTGAATGAGCCCTTACAGAGAAGTGATTGTGTCATGACCTTTCTTTATTGAGACAAGTATATAATAAGACTCTTTTCATGTATTTCTGAACAATAAGAGCAGCATTTATTCCAACAAATCCGGGTCCTGGTTTGGTTATGTAATTGCAGAAGCAAATCACTGTGATTTCAGTAATGCTTTCAGCTGACAAAATTCTACCCACATGGACCGAATTGCAAGATGGGGTCACAAGCAGTTTGGTATCTTCTGTCTAATCAAGGAGCATATGTTCAGCCTCTTACACAGTTCAGGCGCTCTCCTTCCTTTCCTCTTTAAACCAGTTGCTTCAGTGCTACCGCTGAACAATCCAGTATCTGTTCTTCTAATTGTTGGCCCATTTCTATATAAAATGATTTCTGAGTCACATCCAAAAACATATAGACTCCTTTCATTGCCATGACAACAGCAAGACATGCCAGCGTTAGCAATGTCTGCTAGAAAAAAGTCAGTAAAAGCAAAACACAGTTAACGGAGAGATTTCAGATACAAATCTATTTTTATGCAACAGTCCATAGTTAACCTTGTATTGTGAAGAAGTGGTTAAGAGCAAGCTCTGTATAAATAGTTTGCTGTAATGAGTCCTAGACATTGCATTACAAAAAATAAACAAAAACAAAAAACAGATGACAGTGTTCATAGCCATGGTGTCATGTCTGCATGGGAAGAGAAAATAAGGAATTAAATGTGGTTGCTAAACAAAGGACAATTAGTTTTAGAAAAAATAATAGATGTGATAGTGTACATAGTTCTCTCACGATCATACTGTTCTCATTATTGTCTGGGAAGAAATTACATTTGATGGGATTACGAAATGATGCATTTAAGATTTATTTTAAAATAAATAATGTAATAATAGGAAATCACAGGTAGAAAAAACAGGTCTTGTGGGCCTGAGAACAAGAAGACGTCCAAACAAAGCTGGGAAGGAAGAAAGCCAGGAGACTTAGACTTGAGAGGCCTCCAGTTACCTGAAGAGAGCTTCCATTTTATCAACTGTGGTAGAACAGCTTGTAGGGCAGTATGTACAGTTTCCTGTCCCTAGAAACCTGCGTGATCTTAAGGGTTTTCTCACAGTCTCCTTCTATTCTTTGAAGCCAAGATCAAGCTTGTCTTGGAAATGGAAATTGAGCATGAATATCCTGTATTCAGGAGAACTAAATGTTGAATCCTAGAAATCCAAAGGTTTCAAAGACTTAATCTGCTTAATCTTGCTGAAAGGGAGAGGACAAATGTTGTTTCCCAGTGAGGAGCTGTGATTCCATTCTTCTTGGTCTCTATCTCAAGTTCTCCCATAAGGGAATCTTACCAGCTTTTCCCTTATTTTTTCCCTTCACATCTGAAGCTGCAGATGACTGCAGGGCTAATCTTCCTTCTGATGTGTCCTAAAGAGTTTCAGGAACCTTTTCAATTTCCTGAGGAAATTGAAAATAGAAATATAGAAATGCTATATAATCTCAGTTGAGGTAGCAGATATCTAGTGGCAACCATAGGCAAAGCCAGGGAGAACATTGAGCTTGTTACCCTTATTTTATATCCTTATTTTTAGACTATGGATCCTGTTGGCTTCAGCTGGGTTCTCATGAATTTTGAAAATGCCTGCCTGCTTACTGCAGGATGAGGAGGCCTAATCAACCTCCTTGTACCATTTGCCATCCTGGGATTTCTGTGGGTCAGAGAAGTCTGAGTGCCAGCTGGCTGGAAGTGCAGGCAGTATCTCAGGCGGTGTTTCAGTGGGTGGGTGCTAAAAGAGCCCTCCTCAATTCCCAGAGAAACTGTGTAAGTCACTTCTAACTGCTGTTTGAGGCTTTTAAAATATTTTAATCATTTCACAGTGTCACTGTGCTTACTGCTGTTGCTTTTAAATTGGGTATTAAAACTTTTTGGCAGGTGGGGAGTGGGCAGTGAGGAAGTTGCATGCAGCCCTCCTTAAAGGTGAGGCAATGCTTACAATCCTAAAGAACATAACTTAAATCCAAGGTGGTACTTGATCAGCCTGCCCATCTGTTTCTCTCTCTAGCCATAGATTATAACATATTTGTGATTTTGTATATTCACCAGCCTGAGTTGCACAGAAAAATAAAGCTTAGAAGTCTGCAGAGGTTTGTAGACTTTTCAGCACGTAGTCTGCATCACAGAACACTTTAAATGATGGCAGGATTTACCTGAGTAGGGGAAATGCACCGAAATTTTAAGACATGCTCAACTTGTTGAATGAGTGAGTCATGTGGAAAAAGAGGGAGCGTTTTTACCAAAATAGACAGATTTTCCTAGATAATGCTTCTAGCAGAGGAACATCATGAATTGTTGTCAAGTGTTATTCTGAGTTTGAGCCAGCCTAGGAGGTCCCAGATGTGAAAACTCTTCACAGGCACATCATGTCTACTGTAGGTATTTCCAAGCTCTATACTGATGTATTTGAACAGAGTTCTGCTAGCGCTCAGCTCTTGGGAAACACCTGGTCATGTGGGGAGAAAATGCCATTAAAAAGTCAAGATGTCCTTGTCAGTGTGAAGTGAAATATCAAATACCATCACTGAAGAATTCGGAATAAGAAAATGTTGACTGGAAATAAACCACATCTTTTAAAGCAGTGAAACATGCTAGTTTATTTTAGTTTGAATGATGGCGTTGCTTTCAATGTTATTTTAATAGTTGCTATCTTAGTAAAACTAGCTTTATATGAAATTGCAGTGGTCCTTGGGACATAGCACTACAGAGGATGAAACCTTTGTCAATGTTAAACTGGAAATCCTTCATTTTTGTTGCTCCTCTTACTCCTCCCCTCTTTATTTGGCAGTGTGCTTTCTAAGCAACAATGATCACAAACAATACAGCAAATAGTTTTTCAAGGCATTTTAGAGAATTAGATACTTAGAATGCTTTCAGAGTAATCCTACACACTTAAATACATTCCGAAATGATAGGAAGATCAATTTGGAACACATTGCTGTTAATTTGCTCCCTTGGTTCTCTTGCGTTCTCAGCACTTCAGGTCCCAACCTGGAGACTGGCTGCATCATGCCTCCACTGTAACTTTGTAGATTCCAACAAGGCTGAGCCTGTAGAAAAAGAGACACATTTGCATATAGCCAAATTTCAAGACAACAGTCCTAAGCTCTCAATATTGTGAGATGGTTGAAGAGTTCTGTGAGAACTTAACAAATGAACCAAAAGCCAACAAAAAGCTCATGACATATGCACGATTTGAAAATATTTTACACGTCTGCAAACCTAAGAAGCAACCTGAGTTCTGTACAGCACTTGGCTGATGATAGAGCCTGCAAGCCATAAAAACCTGCAGTTAATGATAAGGTTTGCGTCCATGCTGTGGTTCGTGTAAGCATGTGGGCGTGGGGCATGTTAGCATGTTGAAGAGTGCTGCTTAGTGTCTGCTGTCCTTCCACTTCTGTTGTGCAGAATGGCAGGTCTGCGTAGAGGTAGCTAAAGGACATTGCTGAGTGTGATGTATTTTGATGTATCTGATGAACTTATTTCTCACAAAGCATCCATATTTTAAATGTTTAAAGCGTGTTTTAAAATTTTCTGAGTTTACCCTGCTTCTGGTGATGTTTGCTTGCAAAAGTGGGCTTATCAGTTAGAAAATGCTGATTCATAGCAGAGACTGGCTATGGTTTTAACAGAAGATTAGCCAGAATGCTCACAGCTATAAAACTTAAGAAACTGCAGACTTCCTGAACAAAAATAGATTTTTCTCTACCAATTCTCAGTGGAGTGATACTGCACAGATAAGTTGCTAACAGAGGTGTTTTTTGTGAGTTGTTTTTTTGTAGCTTGGGTGGTTCAGACTGTATTTCCAAAGCAAGACATTTGCTTGCAGCTTTCTGCTGCAAATAATTATGAATCCTTAAGAAGCTTTTAAGGGGGAACAAAATAGGGGAACAACAGTCCACGAGCGTAATGTGTCAGCACATGCCTAGGGAAGAAAACTCAACAGCAAGCACGTAGCAGTGTTTCCTCTAATAATCTCTGGCATTCGTGAGACGGCATTTCTGTGTTTCTGGTAGTTTGTGGTGGACTTCTTACTTTTCTTTTGATCTCACGTGAACTTCTGTGCAGCAGCGTCTTGTAGCAGTGTTTGAAAGCTTAATTATGTGTGTGAAGAAATGACTGCTCTCGCTTGTTTGGAGTTTGACACCTACTGACTCCAGTTCCATTTGAGGACCTCTGACTCTCCGTCTGGAAGAACCGGCACACGATTGTCCCCTAACCCATCTCTGAGCTCTTGCAAGCTCCCACGCTCTGCCTGCCTTAGGCTCCTGTGCCCGCACAGATGAACTGCTCCTCGTACAGAAGTTTCTCCATCGCTTCTCTTACCAGCTTTTCACCCCGCAGTGACACTCGCTCGGTACCGCGGCCGCCCCCCGGCGCCGCCCGCCGCGCCCTCAGCTTTTCCCGCTCGGGGTCGCGCCGTCAGCAGGTGCCGAGCGGGCGGCGGGGAGCGGCCCTGCGCGCGGGGGCGGGGAGCGGCCGGCGTCTCGCGAGAGCCGCGCGCGGGCCCCGCGAGATCTCGGCGCCGCCTTCCCCCTCCCCGCCCGCGTCATGTTTTCTCTTTGACAAGCCGCTGCCGCAGAAAGGACGCGGCTCCCCGCGGGGGCTCGTCGCACTCCCCCGCCCCGCGGAAGACCCGGACCGCGCTCTGCCGCCTCCCCGCCGCTGCCCGGTGAGCGTTCGGCCGCGGGGCGCTGAGGGCGGGCGGCCCCGAGGGAGCGCGGCGCGGGGGGAGGGGGCTTCTCTCTTCAGCGCCGCTCCGCACCGGAACGCGCCGCCTCGCGGGGTGCGGCCGGGGGCGGCCGTCGCCTCAGCGAGCCCCGGAGCCGTCGCGGGGAGCTCGGGGGGATGGAGGAGCTCGGGGTATCGAGGAGGCCGCGGCTCCGAGGGCTGGGCGGGGATGGGCGGCAGGTGGGGCCGGGCGGGTGGCACCGCACCGCGATGGGGAGCGATGGGGACCTCCGTACATCGTGGGAAGGGGCCGGCAGGGCTCTCGCGCCCTTTCGGACCGCTCTGGGCGCACAAAACCGCCTTCTGCTTTCACCGAGCTCCGTCCGGCCCCGCCGGCGCGGTTGCGGCGCGGGCTGCGCTCCTCCCCGCGGCGTTACGGCCATCCGCGGCTGCGGAGCTGCCGAAATTCTGGAGCGGCCTTCGGAGAGCCGCGCGTGGCCGCAGCTGTGCCGCATCTCCTGAGCGCACCGCCGGTCCGTCCTCGCCCCGTGCCGTACGTGCTGGCTCCTATTGGCAGCGCTGAAAAATCGCTCGTGTCCGACGGCTGACATATTTTGCAGTCTAACGCGGCGTGCTGACGGTTTTGTTTTTAAAACTGTATGCTTTGATTCGCTTGCAGTTGTTCAGCTGTTTTCTTTGCGGCGGCTCTCCGTGTTTGTCAGGGGCAAAACCCCTTTGTTCATCTCTCCTTTGCAGGGTATGTGCATTCGTTGCCTCGGTGAACGCATCTTTGTGTTGCTTCAGAGCTGTGTGTCACATCTCTGCTGCTTGGTTTTTCATAGGCTTCTTCCTTTGCAGTAGCTGGGATTATTTGATGTATGTACACACGGTGTACTGATGTTGATCAAGTTGGTAGCCTAGCTAAGTGTTCTGTTACTTTATAACAAAACCCAAAGCTCTAAGTTTATACGTCCTGAATTAACGCTGCTCTTTGGAGGTGCCATAGAAACCACTTCTTTTTCATTGCTTAGGAATGTGGGACTGCAGAGGATGTGGATCTCAGGATTGAGTCTCACATAATTATGGGAAAAATACAGTAGGCGTTTACTCTGGAAAGGTAGGCTGTAAACCTGGTCAGACTCTTAGTGCTTCCCAGTATCTGAAGAGGAATCTGTTGATTTAGTGTGGAAGATTAAAAGCTGTACTATGTTAAAATGCCATGGGACAGATGAAGGGCATGGCCAGTCTGTACTGTTACACATAGTAGTTGTCTTTCCTTTAGAATGAAGCATCAAGGCTCCTTCTCTCCAACTATAAACAAACCTGTGCCTGGTTGAGACTTCCTTCTCTGCTCATATGTGATACGTTTAAACAAGAACGTATATCTTGTTCATTGCCTTAATATTAAGGGTTACCATGTTTCTTTGCAGTTACTGAGAGGCCTGTCTAGTTGTTAATGAAGAATAATGGGGATATAAAGTCTTTTGGCTTACTTTTGGTGGACAGTTGGTTTCTTTAAATTTCGTTTAGTCCTTGGCTGAACAATAGCTCACTGGTGAAAGCTTTTCCTTCTCTTATTCCATAACTGAAATAAATGGATATAAGTTAATTAGGAAGGGCTTTTAAGTGGCCTTAAAAAGTCATTTCAGATGGGTAATTGGTTTTAAAAAAAAATCAACAGTGCAGTCATGGCTTGCATGGTTTAAAGTGTCAGTGATAGCTGGAGTGGTGTTACAGATGATGGGATGAACTCTATGTGAAATTAGTCATAATACATGGGGTGCTAAAATTAAAGGAATATACATTTGAATACTTTTTTTAGGGTTCACTTTCAGTATCCTTCTTTTTCTTGCAGTTTCTCATGTAGCTTTTATGAGATTGTGGGGTAGAAGAATGCTTTTATGCTCTTTAAATGCTCTTTACTTAAAAGGGGTGGAGGTGTAAGGATCGTATGGATTTCCAGAAGAACTTGGTAGAGCACATTTGAGTTGTGATCACAGGTTGTTATGAAGCCATTATCCGCTCAATAAAACAGAAACAGACCTCATTCAGATACTGTAGTGATGCTCAGTCTTGTGTTTATTTGACTCGATATCTTCACAAATATGTTTTGGTTGCATACAGGGTGTATTTGTATCTTGCTGGTTTAACTTCCTGTTGCCGGAGTAATCGTACAAACACAAGCAACACATTTGCTTTCTGGTGATTATTTCTCAGAAGGGCTCAAACCCTGATATTGCTGGCAGGTTTTGTTCTCTTCTGTCTTCACAGTGGTGACATTCATCATAAAATATTCAAATGCAGGAGGTGTTTTCTCCTTCAAAACATCTAAACCTCATAAAATGAAACTCCTTTCCAAGGGCAGCTGAAGAAGCTGCAGATGCTTATTTTGCGGCACAGTAACTTCACGGTCACCCATGTAATTTCCAAGGAGAAAAAAGAGCCTGGAACCCAGGCTGTGGAATTTGCCAGCTAACAGCAAGTGTAATTGTAGCCTGGGAACTGGCCAGGTATATTCTCTGGCCTTGACTGCCTGTTGAGATTGACCTGATGACAACAAGCTGATTGGGACTGCATTCGGGTGGCTAAAGCAATTGTGTTCTCTGCTGGGAGCTGGAATTAATTTGCTGCGTAGAGAACAGCCTGCAGTTAGAGTCTTCATTACTGGTGATAACTTAAATTATATATATATACATATATTTTCTCTTGCTTTCAGTGTGGTTTAATGTGGAGATGTTATCCTCAAACATTTCCCTACAAATGCACAAATTTATATAGCACAACTTTATTTTTGAGTACTAGTTGTACTCTGAGTCAAGAAATGGAAATACTAATGCAAAGAATAACTTACTTGTTTGCATTTAAGTTCCAGTCTCGCTTTTGAGTACATTTTCTTGCTCTTTAATATTGAAGTAAATGGGTTCCATTGTACTTAGGTTGCTCTGAAAGCTGTGCCTTTTATTTATTTTCATGGGAAATATGGGAACTACAACAAAGAGCTCAATAACACTATTAGATGATTTCAATTTAAAGTACTGCAGACAGTGTAGAACTGAAATAAATGTGTTTATGCTGTTTTGGTTTTTAATCTAAGTGATTAGATTGAGACGATTGATGGAAGGGCCAGAGCACCTCTCCCATGAAGAAGGCCGGCTCACTCAGCCTTTGTTTAGCTTGGAGAAGAGAAAGCTCTGGGGGGACCTCATTGTGGCTTCCAATCCTTGAAGGAAGCTTACATGCAGAAGGGAACTGACTTTTTGCATGGTCTGGTATTGGTAGGACGAAGGCTTGGAACTAAAAGAGGGAGAGTTCAGGTTAGATGTTAGTTTCCAATTCATTACTCAGAGGGTGGTGAGGCAGTGGCATAGGCTGCCCCATCCCTGGAGGCATTCAAGTCCAGGTTAGATGGGGCCCTGCTCTGGTGGGTGTCAGCCCTGTCTGTGACAAGGAGTTGGAGCTCAGGATCCAACCTGGATCTTTAAGGTCCCTTCCAAACTAAGCCATTTTATGATCGTACTTTGGCTGGGCACTAGAATAGGCTCTGTGGGGCAGTGGTCATTGCTGGAGTATAAGGAGCTTTTGGATAACACTCTCAGACATAAGGTTTGAATTTTGGATGGGCCTGTGGGGAGCCAAGAGTTGGACTTCATCATCTTTATGGGCTCCTCCCAACTCAGGGTATTCTGTGATCAGCCGTGCAGTTTGTCAGTGATGAATAAGAGCCTGCATGTCACACTTAAAAATCTGCGTCAGCAGAGATGACCCACTGTCAGCAACCACTGCTGAAAGGGATCACCCAGGTGTCACTTGCTCACATCCACTGTTTGGTCTCTATAAGTACTCAGCACGTGTGGATGAATGTCAATGGATGCAATTTTTTCCCCATGGAGGAATTCAATTCCACCCCTTTGTTTCACCTGCTCTTCCATGTCAGACAGCATTTTGTCACAGTTCCCCTCTCACATGGCAACAAAATGGAGTAGAATGCTGGGCAGAAGAGTCAACCTTTACTGCCACACCACCAGTGTAACAAAATAGGAGACATCACTTTTTGAGCAGTCCTCATGTTAAAAAATACAATAACAAGATATAGTTCATTGTTTTCCACGGATAAAAATTAATCACAAACTTGATAAGGGGTTGATCAAATAATTCAGGTCGTAAGCAACCTGTGGGGATCATACAGTCTGCCTCTGTGCCTTAGATCAGGGACAAGTTATAAGGGGTCTGTAGAGGGTTTTCTCTATTCCTTGAATGCTTCCAAGGGTGGAGCGTCCGCAGCTTCTGTGGGCAGCCTGTTACAGTGCCTCACCACCTTCTCAGAAAGGAATGTCTTCCTTGTGTCTAATCTAAACCTCTCTCTTTTACTTTACTCCTTGTTTTATTGCATACAGGCAATGGTGTTTTGCTCACACCAAAATTACTGTAATCCGGTGTATGAAAGAATACTTCTAAAATGGTCTTCTTGGCCAGTATATTTAGTCTGATTTCACTGTTAATGACAGGTAGGAGGTGAATGGGAATCTACACAGTCATGGGAACAAAAGGAGAAAATGGTAAGCTAGAAAATGCTGACACTGCAGACAAATTACTACATAGGAATAGAGAAGTGAAACTAAACACGCAATAAATGCCCTGAGGTAGGAAAAAAAAGAAAGGTAGAGATGGTAGATAATAGGAGATGGGCAGTAGAACAAGGCAAAAAAAAAACAAACAAAAGTGTCTTACAAATCTGGAGCAGCAATACAGCAAGGACCTAAAGACCTAAATGAGAAAGAGC